CTCACTGACCTACAGAACCTCACTGACCTACTGAACCTCACTGACCTACTGAACCTCACTGACCTACAGAACCTCACTGACCTACAGAACATCACTGACCTACTGAACCTCACTGACCTACAGAACCTCACTGACCTACAGAACATCACTGACCTACAGAACCTCACTGACCTACAGAACATCACTGACCTACAGAACCTGAGTTAGTGCTAGGTGTTAAAGGAGGTGGCTCATGTGCGCTCAGATACACTCTGGTCAGGACGTAGCAGGTAATTTGCTTAGATTGGTGCTCGTGCAGTTTCATGCCCCTGAAGAGAATTTATGGCACTCCACAGGGAGTCCTTACCTTCAAAGTAGTGCGCAGAGGGATCTGCAGGGGAGCTGGGTGTCAGACCTGCTCTTTCTGGACTGGCCTAGAAAAAAAAAGTATTTTATTTCTACACCAGTCCTTAGCCCTCTGGCCCGTTCGACCCAACAAGCCAATACCTGCTGCGACACACTTGACACAGAGGAGCCCTTCTGTTTCAACGTATCTCCCTGACACACTGTGAGCAGAGGACTCGGTAGGATCGAACGAAAATCGTTAAAGGACCGTCGGCAGGCTGCGTCGCTGCTGTCCCCCACAGACTGCACCGGAGCCACGGGTCGAGGGAAAAGCTTGGACAGCAGAGGCTCTTCAGTGTTGCTGTATCGCCCGAAGGCTCTGGCAACGCCAAGTAAAGTGGGCACGGTGTACCTGCACAGATACTCTACATGGGGACACAAAGACACCTGAATTAACTAAAGGACACTCTTCAGTGTGTGTGAGGTGGATCATGTCGGCACCTTTGTCATGAGCATCTGGATTTTTGCAGATGTTTTGAAGGACCTGCATGATGTCCATTACTGTCTCCAGAATCTAAAAAATATACAAGAATTCATAGGAAGACGCTGTTACAGTGGAACAAAATGAGAAACATTATTACATTCTTCATCTTTTTATGTCCCCACAAGATTTATTTACATTAAAATAGACATTTATTTATTTCAAACATTCATTTGTACACAACAATAAAAAAGCACAGGACAAAGTGTGTTAGAGAAGGGGCGGGATGAAGGAAGTACCTTATCTAGTCCTGTCCCCCCAACACGACATCTTGGTTTTGAACAACTTTTGGTTTTTGTCTTTGATCTAAACTAGGGGTTCCCAAACGGTAGACCGTGATATCTGGATCTAAACCCAAGTAAAGTCCTGTTGGTGCACAACCACTGTTGAACCATCAGGTCTGTTGTAAACGAGTCCCAGAGGCTCAATGGGATTAACCTGTATGAATAAAGGTTGAATGAATGAAAACTTTGGTGGCTGTAGTATTTTTCCTCGAGCAGTTTTCTACATTTATTGGTGACTTGTTCTCATCCACAGGCTGACAGCAGCTTCTCTCCCTCTGCAGAAAGAAAACCGTCTGCAGAGGAACAAACCTGAGACAATAATACAGAGTGATTTAAAAATATCAGCATGTTTGTGACTAAATAAGAAATATTGAGAGAATGTTATTCAAAAAGCAACTCCTTCAGAAACTGAGGCAAACTCCTCCTAGGTTTCTTATTGTCGGACTCCAAAGTCAGGTCCAGGTCTTCAGGTTTATGCATGTGGCCAATCAACACTAGAGCCCGACTGATATATCGGTAAGGCTGATATTTTAGGCCGATATAGTTGTTTGGGGACATATTGATATTGGTGATAATTGTCCCATTATTCGCCAATATAAGCATTTCTAATTGTCGCCCCTAAAATGCAGGAACCAGTTGTAATTGCACAAAGTATCCAGCAGGGGGCGCTTGAAGACAACTTTCAAGTCATGGCAGTTCACTTAAGTTTCACTTTCAGCTCAGCCGAAGCAGGGAGCAACACTGTGTAGAGTATTTTACTGAACAGAGCATGGTGAGTTTATTTGAACTGATCTGTAAAATAAATCAACAACAATAAATTCTCTTCAATCCTCCAACCTGCTCGTCATTAGCTTCGTGCCTCTCAAGTTAGCAAGCTAACGTTTAGATAACCTAGCATAAGCTACTGTCTGTAAAACTTTATCCAGAACAATAAATCTACCGTAGAGGTAAAATATATCATTGTTAGTAACGTTATCTTTGTCGTCTTCAAAGAAATACATTGTTTGTCTGAAATCTTTACTTCTTTACAAAGAAAAATAAACTCTGCTGCGGTCAATGCTAATTAGACCTTCGCCGTACGTGACTGTTTGAACAATGAACAGGAAGGTGTTTCTTTAATTTATATTTTTATAACATTTGGTAACTTCATGGAGACCAGTGGAGGATAGAAAATGTGAACGCACGTTAGGAAGAGACAGTTTTTATGACCAGCGCTCCACGTAAACCTGCTGTGGGTCTACGTATAGCTGGATCTGATTAGCTTAGCTTCATGGTTGCTAACAGCTGTGCTAAATAAACAAGCCCTGCTCCACCCACTGATTTCTTACATTCTCGGGGATGGACAAACTAAAACATTTTCAGCCATTATATCAGTTATCAGCATCAGCCCTTCCCCTCCCAATATCGTTATCGACAATAGCCAACATTTCCATATCGGTCGGGCTCTAATCAACAATAAATATATAGTCAGGAACCAGAACCAAATCTATCATCTGCACAGCCATGGTGCTTCTTCTCCATCAGGGATGAAGGCTGCCCTTCGCATGACTACATTCAAGGTGAAGTCTGGGAAAACGAACAACCGTTTTTTGTTGCGCAGCAGACAGAACGCCTCTAAAGTGATTTGTAAAATAATCTTCATTATCGCTCAAATGTCTATCTTCATCTATTCCCTTATGTATTATTCATTAAACTTTATTTAAACAGGCAAATCCCACTGAGATCACAGATCTCTTTTACAAGCGAGGCCTGGGCCTGAAGTCAGACTAACATGCATGTTTTTGGTCTGCGGAGGAAACCGGAGTACCCGGAGAAAACCCACGCAAGCACGAGAAGAACATGCAGACTCCACCCAGAAAGAGCCCAAATCTGTGAGCACTGCAGGAGCTTCGGCTGGTTCAGCTGAAGCTCCTGTTCAGAAACTCCTTCCCACGAGTACCGAGCAGCGACGGCCTGCTGCTGTTCTGGAGGAGACTCAGGTTTGTACAAATAATCAAGAAAATCTTACGGTGATCACACACAAACTGCAGTGTTTCTGTCCCGTGAGCTGAGCCAGGGTTAGCACGACGCTTTCCTGGAACATGTTCCTCAGCAGAGAGAAACGTTCCATTTGTAGAGTTCATCGGACCTTTTGTTCCACACACGCCTGCAGGACGCTGCTCACAGTTCCAGTTAGGTGAATAATAAACATTTTTTAATTGTATAGTGTTGAACTGAACTACGACCCTCACATACATCGAACCGTGACCCACTAAAAACACATCAGTCCCACTAAATATTACTAATAAATTCAGCAGTGAACAGAATATAAAATCCAGTGTTGGTGGTCGTTACCACTTCCTGAGCGCCGTGACGTAACAGGAAGTTCAACAACATTTTGTTTGGTCTTTTTGTGTATACCGGCCTCATCAGAACCAATTCACACACCTGCCCTCGTAAGCTCTCGTCTCGTTGGGCAACATCTGAGAGCAACGTTACGAGACAGAAGCTGAAGTTCTCTGCCACTGGAAGAGTTCCTGCAACAGGAGCGAAACAAAAAAGATTTTTAGAGCCACAAATAAATAACAGCAAACACTTCCGCACTGCAGGATCGCAGCGGTGTTACACACCCTGTTGTTTGCGATGTGAGCTCTCTTCAATCCACTGGACCTTAGGAAGCCCTCTGAGCAGCCCGAGAAGGTAGGGGACCAGAACATCTCGGTGCTGAGACACAAGCATCGCACACGTTGTTAGTCGTGGTGCGTCAGTGCAACACAAAGCGCCGGCAGGAGAAGGAAACACCGTCTACCTGCAGGTCGGACTCCACCAGAAAAATCCCAAGTGCGATGACGGCGTCTCTTCTTCTCTCGTCCAGCTGGAAGACCCCTCTGACGTCCACGGGACACATGCACTGCAGCTTCTGGACCTGCAGCAGAACACAGGCAGGTGAAGACAGAACCCGACATGATCTGGAACTGGATTAGTAAAGTCTTCTACTAAAGCTGCGGTTCTCAGTGTGGGAGGGGCAGGGTCACTGCGGTGGAGCGCCCGTCTCCCAGTCCTTTGTTTTCCAGTCCAGAAAGTGTTGTAGGTGGAACTCAGACGTGTTTGTGTTTCCGTGGCGATGAGACGCAGCGTGGCTCCGCCCCTCACAGATCAGACAGCACACGACCCACGCAGAAAAGATGGCGGAGAGTTTATCTTTATTTGAAGAAAGGTTTGACGTCTGGAAGAAGAGTCGCCCTTGAATCAGCGACAGATTTGAGTTTTCATGTCGTGTGACGCATGGACACAAAATTCCCGCTGCACTCGACCCGACAGGACAAATCAAACATTTAAACTTTTCATCAAATTAAAACACACGACCGATAAATTAGGATGCCTTAATTGTCCAGGGAGGTAAAACTATTTACTGTAGCTTCACTCAGTTGTGATCAGACACGGCTGTGCATCTCTGGCAGATGACCAGAGAAGAATTATTAATAGAAATTATTATTGACTATTAACAATATTTGGTTCCTCACGCTCTGTGAAAAATCAGGATGAACTAACACTTCCTGTAATCGCTTAACTTCCTTAACTAAAGAGCATTTTATTAGACTATTTACCAAAAGGCTGTTTTAGGGTCTAATATTTAAACTAAACTAAAACTGTGCAGGATTATATGTTAAAAATAAATGTAACTTTACATTTATTGAAATGTTGTTTGCTGATGTGACTGAACTTTGGCGTTTAAATGAAAAGTTAAAATATATAGTGATTAAAAATACCATAGGTATCAGGTCTCTCTTGTAAATGAATCCTCTTGGCTGAATGGGATTAATCTGTCTAAATAAAGGTTGAACGAACACATCTCTGACGTGATAAATAAAATAACCAAAGCTCTAAAGTTTTACTTGTAGCTTGATCTTTCTGCAGTAAAAGTGGAAAATTGTTAGAAGCAGGTGATGCTGGAACAGTGATCATTTAATCTGAGAAAAGATTATTTATTTTTAATCATAAACTCAACACATCAGTCGTCCCCTGACGTCACTGAGACAAAAACCTTAATCTCGCCTAATCCAGAGCTCCATCACAACCACCGTTACGGCTGGGATGATTTGCGCATGCGCCGTTGCGTATGCCCCCCGGTTAAAGGCGAATGGGCAAATCAAATATAAAAACAACGTTACCACTAGACTTTTTTAACTTTTGTTCAACTGTATTCATTTAAAGCATGCTTCTCACCAAGTTAGAGGAAACTCAGCTGTGGGGTTTTAAAGAAATTAAAACTTGTAGCCGTAAAGGTTGTTGTAAACGAGCACTGTGGATTTGAGCCAGCTAACAGCTAGCCGGCTCATCTTTACACACAAAACATTCAACACGACATTCACAGAGCCGTTTGCACACACACACGCGCGCGCACTCCCCCTGCTCCACAACGAGCAGCTGTCCGGGAGGACGGCTCGGTTCGACCCGGTCTGAAGCTGCTCGTTAGCTAACCGCTAGCCGAGGCTAAGGTTACCTTTTCTACCGGAGCCTGCTGGTGAGCCGCCAGGGACCGGGCCAGCGACAGGACGGTGTGGAAGTAGAACCCCCGGCCGCCCTCCGCCTTCAGAGACATGCTTACCCGCGGCAGGTGTCAACTACACGAACATAAACATCTTAGAACCGGATCAACCCGATCTGAGGACCAGCTGGCTGCTCTTACTGACAACTACGGCAGCCGCGACGGACAAAAAGTGCCAGTGCAAGGTCACAAACTACTAAAGCTTAAAATCCTTTAAACAGCTAAACCTTTAAAAAATGTTTATCGCATTTATGATGAGAAATAATGGAGTTGTAGCTGTTAGAGTCAGATATTGAAAATAAAGAGATCTGTTGGCGCTCGGTGTTTGTGTTGAGAATCACTCTCCACTACTACCACACTGACCGGTTCATGTAGCTGTAGCAGCCATCTTTAATCACGTGATGACGTGTGCAACAGGCAATGAGCGCTTTCTGAAAGTTTCATTCAAATCCATCCAGTGGTTCATGAGATATTATGTTTACTTCAAAAACTAATCAGTTGACGAAGTACATCTAATGATTGGTTTCGAAGAGATCCGTTAAAATCTGTTCTTGTTCATGAGATTTTTTTTTAACCGCATGGACAAATACACACAAAAGTTTTGTACCCCCTAGAAAATCTTTAATCTGTCTGCGAGGACTTATTAAAATAAAGTGTGTAATGTGTCACAGACTCTCCACTGGTACATCTGTGTAATGTGTCACAGACTCTCCACTGGTACATCTTCTTCTTTAAATCACTTCCTGGTCTGCTGCCTTCATACATCTCCTCCTACATGTCTCTGTGTGAGTGCAGCTACAGCGTGCGCTCTCAGGACATCATTACCTGCAGTGTTCCCTCAGTGAGGACTGAACTAGACAAAAGGACCTTCTCCTGCTCCGCTCCTGTTTCCTGGAATATCTTTGGTATCTTAGGTTGAATGAGTAATCAGCTTCTCAGTTTGTAATCTGTCAGTTTGCCTATTTAACGGGTGGCAGGTAGTCACAGGACTGTTTTGTATCTGTGTGTGTAGCACACTGAATATGGACCGCAGAGAGCTGAGGACAGTCGTCTCAGGAGCTTAGAAAGATAATTATTAACATATGTCCATCATCTTTATCTGCTTTTTCCTTTTCAGGTCACGGGGGTCACTGGTGCCCATATCCAGCTATCATTATCAGTTGAGGTGCTTCAGGTATGTCCAGCTGGGAGGAGACCCCGAGGAAGACCCAGGCCACACTGGAGAGACTACGTCTCTCTGTTGTCCTGGGAACTCCTTGGAGTCCTCCCAGAAGAGCTGGAAGAGGCTGTGGAGAGAGATGTCTGGGCCTCCCTGCTCAAGATGCCCCCCCCCCCCCCCCCATTCAGCTGGTTTTTAGCTAATTTCAGCTGTGTTTCAGCACATTCTTCTGCAATAAGCATTCACGCTGCATTTTCACAGGAAATGTAATTTCTCTAGCTCCTGTTAGTTTGAAGTTATTTCACTGAGATTTAATGGTTCAGGGGCTTCAACTCATCTGCTCCAAACAATCGAGGTGAATAAAGAACGGACTCAACAGGTTCAACGGTCTGATCCAAGTTTATTCGTAATCATTCGTAGTAAAATTAAGAGCAAAGGCACGTTGGTTTTAGTCCTTCTGTTCGTCTGAAAGACCAGCTGGGACCCACGTCTGTTCTGCTCGTGGTCCAGTTCAGCTTCGAGATGAGAAAGACCGCTCGCAGTAAACACGGAGACCGCCAGAACTGGCCAGGGAATGTAAACGAGCTGCAGAGACATCACCGCCGAGGTTCCATGGGTTCTGGACAGCCGGAGGCACACGAGGTGGTTTAAGGCCGTTTCTGACAAACGAAGGCTCTGAAGCACGCTGAAGGCACCTTCAGATGGTCGAGTCACTTTGAGGTGAAGATAAAAAGCAGTTGAGATGAAGTGAGAGGATGTGACCAGTCCTGCAGGGTTAGGAAGCGGCGAGGACGCTCCAAACGCCCGGACTGCCACACTTCAACGTCCTCTCATGCCACAGGCATTTGAGAAGACCTTCAGGTTCTCGTCTGACACTGGAACATCGTGAATTCTTCTGTGGGCTACCAGCAGAGTCTGTTTTCCAATAAACATCTACACTTAAAAAGGCTTTAAAATGGGACTGATGTACGTTCTTGTTCCCGTACCGGTGGTTTGGGTTCATCTTCTGTGGATGGAGCTAACAGAACCCACAGATCTGAAGAACATCTCATCACGTCTCCCTGAGCTTTGAAGGAACATTTCTCTTCATGAACTGAGATAAAAACAGTGGTAGTTCTGCAGGAACATTCCACCACGGCTGACCCTTAAATTAGGAGGAATCATCAAGGAATCGAAACGGGGGGGGGGGGGGGGGGTACAGTCACTTTGAAAATACTCGGAGGTAGACATCAGAACCAGGAAGCAGACGGGTCTGTGCCCGTTTAGTAACGTGGACAGGCCGTCCCAATGCTCCAAGCTGTAGCACCCGAGGGTCCAACTCAGTCCGTCTTCCACACCATGTTCAGAACCTTCACCACTTCCTCGTAGATGATGAAGACGATGGCGACATCCATGCACACCCGACCCAGACGGGGCACAGTACCTTTGTAGAACCTGCAGGTGTGGAGAGAGTGGACAGTTACTTCGGTCAACGATGATTATCCTGTAGAAAGACGTTTGTTGTCTCAGGCTAAATATTTCAAGAAAATGAAGCGCCATCTTGGTGCGTGTCCTTCCACAGACAGGCGTGTCCTTCTATAGACAGGCGTGTCCTTCCACAGACAGGCGTGTCCTTCCACAGACAGGCGTGTCCTTCTACAGACAGGCGTGTCCTTCCACAGACAGGCGTGTCCTTCTATAGACAGGCGTGTCTTCTATAGACAGGCGTGTCCTTCTATAGACAGGCGTGTCTTCTATAGACAGGCGTGTCCTTCTATAGACAGGCGTGTCCTTCCACAGACAGGCGTGTCCTTCCACAGACAGGCGTGTCCTTCTACAGACAGGCGTGTCCTTCCACAGACAGGCGTGTCCTTCTATAGACAGGCGTGTCTTCTATAGACAGGCGTGTCCTTCTATAGACAGGCGTGTCTTCTATAGACAGGCGTGTCCTTCTATAGACAGGCGTGTCCTTCCACAGACAGGCGTGTCCTTCCACAGACAGGCGTGTCCTTCTATAGACAGGCGTGTCCTTCTATAGATGGTAAATGGACTGTACTTATATTTCACCTTTCTATCTTATTTCAAGATACTCAAAGTGCTTTACAACAATCTGTGCCTCATTTACCCATTCATGCAGCTCTATACTAGATCTCTACAAAGCTAATTGAACAAATCATCTAAAGAGACTAATCAGAGCTTCGTCACATTCATACACTGATGGGACACACATCAGAGGCAACGAGGGGAAAAGTGTGTCCTTCTATGGACAGGTGTGTGTCTCCACATCAGTCCAGTCAACTGAAGGTACCACAGGTGGACTCCACTGAAGTTGTAGAAACATCTCAAGGATGATCAGAGGAAACAGCAGCTTCATGGCAAAGGCTGTGAAGACTTACATAAATGTGATTTCTTAGTTTTATATTTTTAATAAATTTGCATAAGTCTTTTTCCATGTTGTCATAATGGGGTAGTGAATGTTGAGGAAAGAGATGAGTTTAATTCAATTGGGAATAAGGCTGTAACATAACAAAATGTGGACGAACTGAAGAGCTGTGAAGACTTTCTGGATGCTCTGTAGCCTCCGGACGACAACACTGAACCACTGGGCTACGCCCACTGTTCCCAGTACCGTTGTAAAACAGCCAACATGGTGGAGAGCATCATTAACAGCACCCAGAAAGACTTGGTTTCAGATCTGTTCGCTGTCAGTACTGAAGGTTCTACTCACGCCGCCGGTCCTTCATGCTTCATGATCTTAACGGCGCAGTCCAAAGTGCTTTTGTACTTGTGAGCTTCAAGACCCTGCAGAATGACCAGACGTTGGTGACAAAACTTTAGAGCTGAGTTAGGAGTTACACCTTTGGAGAACTCACCTGCATCCTGGTCTTAATGACGTCCAGCGGCGTGTTCCCAAATACGCTGACGGCCCCGGCAACGGCGCCGAACAGCCCAGTTACCACAGGGTTGATGGCTCTGTTGGGGTCATCGCCTCAAAGAGGGAAAAGAACAGGCGTGTTATACGAGCTCCTGTTGAAGGGTTGTTGCAGTAACTGCTGAGGTTTTGTACCTTTGTACCAGTTCCTCAGGGAGGTCATGACGTAGAAGCGGATGGCCTGGTTGGAGCCTTGTTTCAGCACCGTGGCAGTCAGACCCTGATAGGTCCCCTTCAGGCCTGAACACACAACACAAGTGTACCAGCAGAGGAACCGGCACCTCCATTCTTCATAAACTCAGAGGCAAAAAGAAAAACGATTGCACACAGAAGACTGGGCGCTCTAAAGGAGATGAAGTCCTTACCTTCAGACCTGATGATCTCCCTCACACCATGGAAGAAGCCTCTGTACTTTGGGTTTGCTGAAGTTTGGTCATGGATGAATTTCACCTGAGAGAGCATATTGAAGACCACAGGTACAGAAAGGCTCGTTCAAAACACCTGATCCTGAGATTTTCAGGAGTTATTTTGGTCAAAGACTCAATTATTTTATGGCAGGACTAGAGAACAGCTTCAGATTTAATCAATCACAGACAAAGTTCTTTATGTTCAAATATGGGAAACTGAAAGGTCGTCTTTGAAAAGCAGAAGGACCTCAAGGATCTCCTGAGACCGGGATGTACACTTGGCTCACACTGCAGGTCTGAACGGGTCACTAATGGGCAAATATAAATTCAGATTTGGGCCTCTTCAGACTGCAGTGTGAACGTAGCCAAAATGTTCCTGTTGCTCTTAAACCTGAAAATAAAACATGCACAGATGATAAAATCCAAGATGAGGAGATGTTTGTGGACCTTTATCGTCTCCATGGGGCAAACGACGACCACAGCTTCTGCGACTCCAGCTCCCAGGCCACAGAGGAATCCTCTCTTGCTGTCCAGCTTCCCGCTCTCATCTCGCATCTTGTTGCTGAGGAACTCAAACATCCCAAACCTGTCCAAGTCCGAGACAACAGAGACCGAGACCAAAATCAAATAAATCGGGACTTAAAGGTCTTGTTACGAAGTTGTCTAACAAAAATAATTTATAACTTAAGAAACTAAATCTACACAAACTCATAATGACTTAAAGATGAGTCAGGTCCTCTAGACAGATTTAAAATAAATAATTTTTTTAAACTGTTGAAATGTTTTGTCTTTTATCCAAAGGACTTCCTCAGTCTGAGGTGCTGTATTCAGCTCAGTCTCTTAAATAGCACCTTCTCAGAGTGGATCAACCAGTTTGCTGCTGACAACCAAAACCAGCTGATCACATGCTCAAGAAGGACCATCAGCCTAACAATGGATCATTAGCACCTGATGGCTGTTTACTGTTCACAGAGGGCTGAGTGATACTAGCAATCACAGCATTGTAAGAGGGGGACAGTTGAACCCGGAGGCTCCGCCCCTGTTTAATGATGGACGGTTTCTTTTCACAAAGATGGCCTCCTTTACTCCTCTCTCAAACCATCGTTCCTCTCTGTCCAGGATGTGAACATCTTCATCCCTGAAAGAGTGACCTCTGGCCTGGAGATGAGTGTAGACCGCAGAGTCCTGGCCTGATGATGTTGATCTTCTGTGCTGGTCCATCCTTGTGGCCAGTGGCTGTTTAGTTTCCCCGATGTAAGACTGATCACCTCCTGACACTGAACAACATACACAACATTACTCTGTTTGTGCCGGGGGACTGGATCTTTGGGATGAACCAGTGTTTAATGTATTTTGGGGTTTAAAAGCCACTGGGACGTTATGTTTAGAAAATAAACGTCTCAGTTTCTCTGATACTCCCTCAACATACGGAATGACCACTGGTCTGGGTCTGGGTTCCTCCTTTTCACCTGTTGGCTGACTGGAGTCCTGTTTGGGTTTCTTCTCTTCTTCCAGGAAGGCTCAGTTAGGATATCCACATTGCTCTAGAGCCTGTTTTGTGTGGGATTTCTCCTTCTGCCTGGCTCCTGAGCTAGTGGGGACGCTGTCTGCTCTGTGATACAGAGTCCACATGTAATAAAAAGATGAAATGTTTCAACATTTTTTAAATCTGTCCAGAGGACCTGAAAACTTTGTTAGATTCATGAGGTGACGTTTGAACGGGTCGGGCGACATGCGTGGTTGAACAGCTAAGACTTTATTTGTGAGCTTGAGTGCGAGGCTTCAGTACCTGACGGCTGCTTTGGGTATGGATCCATAGAGCAGAGAGCTCAGGCCTCTGTAGAGTCCCCGGACCCCATGACTGCTCACGGTCTGCTTCACACAGTCCGCTGCAGAGACACAAAAACTCACCGAGAGTTCAGACAAAAAACACAAGACCTCCACCACCGCCTGGACAACAAGTCCTGCTACAATAAAGAACTGTAACAAGATTTACTGGGTGCATTTCTGTTTTCATTCGTTCATTATTTTTTACACAAGTCTCAGCAAACAAGATCTGCGTTAAAGTTCAAAGAACGTCTTGCTCCATAAACACACACCAGCTCGCTGGTTTTTACCTTGAACATACAAAAACAAGAGTTATCTCAGGGTCAGTGCAGATAACAGAGAAGAAGTCATTAATAGGGGATGCATTGTTTAAACACTCAGTTTTTATTGTCTTATTTAACAGTAGTGGCGAGTTCCTAATGGTTTTTATGAAACCAGTACACACAAAGGTTTGTTTGGAAAGTATGAAGTAACATTTTGAACTCAAGTTATCTTCTTGTGGAGAACGCTTTGGACCTTTAAGTCCAGACTGAACAGAATGCACCAAGTCTCCAGAACGTTGACGTGTTCAAGGGTGTTGAGATCTACAGGGGTGTCTGGGGCTAGGGCTGAGAAGAAAAAAAGAGTGATATTCCATCCATGCATCCATCCATCCAGCCATCCATGCATCCATCCATCCAGCCATCCATCATCAATACTCGCTTCTTCCTTTTCGGGTCATGGGGTCACTGGTGCCCATGTCCAGCCATCACTGTGCAAGAGGCAGGGGACACCATGGACAGGTCTCCAGTCCGTCACAGGGACACCAAGAGACAAATGAGACAAACAACCATTCACTCTCGCTCTCACCTAGGGACAATTTAGAGTTACCAATCAGCCTAACATGCATGTTTTTGGTCTGTGGGAGGAAACTGGAGCACCTGGAGAAAACCCACACAGCACAGAGAGAACATGCAAACTCCACCCAGAAAGGTCCCCGGACCAGGATTTGGACCGGGGCGACCTGTTCCTGAGATGCAACATTTAACATTGCAATGATGACGGTTGAATAATTCCAGTTTTCTCACTTTCTCCTTGAACCATCATCTAAAACCACGAGTCGGCATCAAGACCAGAGTTTGTTGGATTGATCAAATATATCGGACAGCAAAACATGGACATATATTCTGACCTCTGTCTTTATAGGGCCTGAGATGACTGGCGTTTTGAATTGGCACAGGTTACAAAAAATAAATAAAAGGTCCAAGTGTGACGGGAAAGCACCCACGGCAGGAGGTCCACAGGTCTTCGTATGGCTTTGTGATCACACATGGTGGGGAGGGGCTGCCGGCTGGATGTTTCTACAAAACTTATTTTTTTCTGTTCAGGAAGTCAGAACGGGTCAGAACCTCAGGTGAAATCATTGCTCTTCTGTGATTGCTGGCTGTTCTCCAAAGCTTTGCAATGAACATGACCAACTTACACCTGGTTGTTATGGGAATCACTTTTTTCCACGACAGTAATGTATAAGTGTAGTGGGATGTTCTGTACAGAAATGTTCTGTATTTCAACACATGTAAAGATACAATATATTTTATAAGCACAGATAATAGTAAAAAAATAAAAATACTGAGTAGAAACTCACCGATTCCTCTGTATTTGGGAGGATTTGCCTTCTCATCCAGCTGCAGCTGTGTTTTAACGTACTCTGTGGGGAAGGTGATGCAGATCTCTATACCTCCTGCAATCCCACCTTGAACAGAAAAAGGAGGTGGTGTTCATTCAGTCAAGACAAAAAGCCGACGAGTGAATTCTGCAGAGGAACAGTAGCTTGTTTCACAAAGTGGCCACTTCACAGACACAGAGGCCGACCTGTGACCTGCTACAAGGCCTGTAGTCTCTGACGAGGCCGACCTCTGACCTGAGACACGACCTCTGACCCGAGACAGAAGCCGACCTCTGACCTGAGACACGACCTCTGACC